ACTAAAGCTATAGCGTAAACCCAGCAAGCTGCTTACCTAACTCAGCATTTCTGTGCTTTAGACACCCAAAAATGCTAGGTTAGGCACTGACAGCTTACTACATATTGAGAACTACTACATATTCAGAATAAGACTTTGAGAGCAACTGTTGATGCTCCAAGTTCATTCATTCACTCACGCATTCACTCGTTTTTGTTACTTACAGCTCTGCGACCTCCTGTTCTTCTTCCCAAGCCTCCTTATGTGTAAGCTGGCTGCTGCCAGTGCTTTTGCATGTCCATATCCGCTCTGCATACCTGCGCAGTCGAGCTTCATACTCTCTGAACAATAGTGTTATGGACAAAAAACGCACTCAAACACTACATCGCTTCTAGCTCTTCTAGAACTTCTCAAATCTCAAGCAGTACTTCCAAAGCAGAGCTGATCAAGTGATGTTAGCTCTGCTGTCCATAGTCTGAGAGAGCCTCATTCATAATTAATGCATGCGTGTAGCACAGCAGCTCAATAATTAAAGGGCCAACAGCAGCAGATCCCGCATGAATTAATTAATGAAACAACTAAATTTGCAATTAAGAACAGTAATGGTAACCAAAAATACAACAGCCTCAGTAAAATTGTAATTACAAGCACTCTGAAAGATTGAAATCATTTCAGAGCTAAGATAAATACTTGTGTTTAAGTTAATTTTGCACTGTTCACGTTTTACATAAATGTGTATCAAACCATAATTATTAGTGGTCACCCGTTAAGGGCTTTAAATGCAGGATGTCAGTATATCTAGAAACTTGGGTGTTTAACGACAGCAAACAAATTGACAAAATTGCTCGGTTTAAAACAAAACTTTATTTTTTTTACTATGACATGGATGTCAGTAGATTTTATAACTGATACAAGGATGATGCTTATCAGAAGGGATAACACTTCTGTTAATCAGACAAGCAAAATTTAGTGGCAGATAAATATCAGATTAATCAATATATCACCCGATGTATTATTCTATTATTATGTATAAGGCACTATGACTTGACACCTCTTAAGATGCTAAACTTTGACTCAAAACTTGAGCCAAGCTTGATTCAAACACCAATTTGGCAGATCTAGAACAAACTTAAACCTAGAACACACACTAAATGATGGAAAATTGTCTAGTTTTAAGTGCTGAGATGGACCTACTGAAAGCATGCGTAAAGTTTAAGCACGTGATTAAATCTTGACGAACGAGTCAGACAGACAGTTTTCATATACATAAGCTTCACCTTCAAACTCAATCGTTTTGCTATCTTCACTCTAAAGGCCCGCCCTCCACAGACCAGGCGGCCAACAAGATGTCATAATCAGTGTTGGGGGTAACGCGAGTTATGTAATCAGATTACTTTTTTCAAGTAACTAGTAAAGTAATGCATTACTTTTTAATTTACAAGAGAATATCTGAGTTACTTTTTCAGATAAGTAACGCAAGTTACTTTTTTTTCCAATTTATTGACTGACAGCTCTCCTGTCCCCATGTTGAGAGAAATCAGAAGATGCTACTGTAGTTCTAAAATAAATATGAATATGCATTAATTCATCTCACTCACAAAATAAAAAAACAGATTCAGTATTCCTCAAACTGAATAAAAAAAATGCTCAGAATATAACGCAAACCTGCAATAATTAAATGATAAACAACACAAATATCCTTTATGTATTTAATCCCATTCTATTAACCGATGTCTTTGCTTCTGACCTTCAATGATCCAGTTCAACCGTACTAATAAGCAAAAATTACTCTAGACAAACATTTGTGTGTCTTTTTTTATTGAAGTGTGTTGAAATGTCTTCTTCTGCATTCTACTGTACAGACGTAAATTTACTTTCCCTTCAGCCTGAGGCTTATTCATTTCACTTTTGGTGTGAAAAGGCTTTTATATTTGCCAAAAATATAACTTTTTTATTTTAAAAACAAGCAAGCAAGCCCTGTCCAGATTTAAAAAGTAACTCAAAAGTAACGAAACGCATTACTTTCCATAAAAAGTAACTAAGTAACGTAATTTGTTACTTTTTGTATGGTGTAACGCAATATTGTAATGCATTACTTTTAAAAGTAACTTTCCCCAACACTGGTCATAATCCCCGAAAGCGCAGTGATTGATAAGCAGTAAACGTTTCTGATTGGCTAGCTTTCTGGTTCCGTAACAAGCACCCGGGTCACTTTCCTTTTAGTTTCTCTAGAAACCTAGTGCAGTGATATCTGTCAGATCAGAGATTTTGTGTGAGATAAATAACAAAACACACTTACATAGCAATTCAAATATAATGTCTGGAGCAAGTACTAGTTATAGTTACAAAAAAATATCTAATATTTCACAAATATTAATTAAACAGCATACACCACAGAACGCATATACTTGGTTGCTTATGCCATAAAGTTCATCTCTACACATCCTGTCCAAATGACCAAATTCACGTGGCGCGCGAAAACCATCTCGTGCAGCAGCAGCAGCAGCCTGAGCTAAAACTGTTTATACAATCATAAACACACACTCCCAGCATATAGATAACTATTACGCAGTCTCGCTCAACAGACGGTTGGCTGTTCGGGAGCATCAATCTATAAGCTCACATCATCACAGATATGTCCCTGAACTGTAAATGCGCGCTCGTGCGTGTGTTACACAAGATTGAGTCATGGCAGTTCGGATGAAAAACTGTTTACGTTAGCCAGACGTTACACACACACTGCGTCCTGAAGCTAGCTCGCTAGCACTAGCTCGCTCTAAAATGCACACAGAACAACAACCCCTCAACAATACGTATTTCGCCATGCTTCAGTACTCTAAATCAGACAAATATAACATTTAGCACTGTCTTAAGAGTTAAGCCCCTGCTGATCTAAACGTCATGGTCACCTTTAGCCGGTTAGCGTTACAATGTGATGCGGCGCGCAAGATGAAAACAATAATAAAGGCATAAATGGACACACTGCGCTCGCACACGCTCAGACTCCACGAGCCGCGTGGAAGCAACGGATCGAGAGTCCTGCAGGCACGTGTTTGTATGTCTAGTGCTTTCAAGTGGTAGAGGAGACAGTGAGAAAGGATACTCTTTGTTCCTGAAGGCCTCTTTAGTGTGCTCGATGATGAACACCTCCTCTCCTGGGCCCGGCGGCTCCGACAGCGGCTTAACCAACGGGTACGGCTTCCGGCCTAGTAGAGGTGCCATCGAGGGCTTGCTGCGGTAGTGGATATGTCTGCAAAGTGAGCTACTGAACTCTCCGCTTGAACTGAATATGCCGTGAAACCGCGCGTCTCAGCGGCGTAGCATCGGGCTAGGCTAACACGCTGCTTTACTTGCTTTTAAGAAGCGCGTGAAAACAAAAGTACTGTTTTGTTGATCAGTTATATCTCCCGTGTGAAATCCGCTGGTTTGGGGGAGCCGGTGGAGTCATGGTGGGATGTCTGAAGACAGCGTAAGGAGTGAACGGAAGGTCCTGGGTGCCGGGGATGGAAGCGCGAAAGGCGGCCCGTCAGAGCTGGTATGGCGGGCTTTCTTATGCCGCTCAGGTCCGTGTTGTAGTCGATTCTCCAGGCCAAAGCGTCGTACCAATTCCCTATCCGCAGCGACTATAGACCGCGTAGATATTGTTTTGAGGGACTTGCTGATTACATAAACAAACAAGAGGGTTTATAGCTGATTGAAAAATGGCGGGAGTTCCTGCTACACCGGCAACATTCCGTACAACCTCAAAACTCTGTTACCCCGGTAGCAAGCAGCGACGCAAGGATAAGTCCCACCCATCGTCTCCAACGACTGGTTACTAAAAAAATACGACACAGACTGAGATATTTGATTGGCCGATTGAACTGTCAATTATACCTACTCCACCTTTTGTCAAAAACACCCCTCCAATCACAAACACAGTGTTTGGAAGCGTGGTTAGGGGTCAGTTTATGGTAAATTCATAGATAAATTAAAATGACAGTATGCAATTTGCCTCATATACTTAAGTATTAATAACGGACATTTTATTTTCCGTTAGAACAACATTTATATAGCCAAATGTCTAGAGTTTAGCTAAAAGAGGCAGCGGTTATAGAATTTAAAAGGAGACAATAGAACTTGCACACGACACTTTTGATCCAATTAAAGAGGCAGTCTTGATTAATATGTTAATACCAGTCTCAGCAGTGGAGACAATGTACATTAAAATATAGTTTTTCACGGCCACATACAGTATGAGTTAATAAAGCTCTGTCTTAAGCATTCAAATAATGCTAAATTATTAAATTTATATAAACTCATTTAAACACTGTATTGGAATTATATAATTTCAAGAGAATCATAATTTTGGGAATCGCCCTTAAAATCATGTCATATGTACAATAGTGTTCTGTCTCTGCCATACAACTTTGCAAATTATGCAATCAGTGGAAAGCCGCATTTATAAATCCAGAGTGGTTTTATTTCCATCTGTCTAGTGAAAAAGTCCAGGTACATTTTTACCAGGCAACACTACATGAATCATACACTATTTTTTTTTGTTTTAAATACTTCAAATACTATGGAAAGTGGAAGCCTGAGCTTACGATTTATAAAATATATGCATTCCTTCTTTTTCAATAAAAATATTGATAATTGGATGCAGTACATTGAACAATAATAAACAAATCAAGAAACAGATAACACAGATGTTAATCAACACTGCCTTAAAATGCATGCATTGAAGTATTTTTACAATAAAACAAAGTAAAACAAGCCAATAAAAGTTATTTGTATAATCTGAAAAATATAAAAATGAACTGTTTTGTCATACTGTATATACCAATCATTACTCCATGCAGACACATGTATTATACTGACAAAGTCCTTTCTCAATTTAGAATGAGAAACATGCAACATAACAGTTTATTTTCAAGATGCAATACAAACTGCTTTACCTTCATAAGAAAATACCTGAAAAGATCTAAGATCATCTTTTTAATGTACAAAAAAGAAAACATTTCAAGCTTTTTTTTTTTTTTTTCTTGATCATTTACTGTAAAAGTGAAATTCAGGCATTTGGCAGGTTCTAAAAAGTCTCTGAAATGTACAGTTTAGTCTCTTTCAGAAATTCTTCTATACTTTTGACCAGCAATGTTCAGCATAGTGGTGCTAACTGAGAGTTGATGTTTGCTCAGTGCAGACTCTTTTAAGCGGTGGGGCTCCAATCACCTCCTCTTCCTCCTGTGAAAAACTTAACAATTTTAATTCCCACAATGCATTAGGTGAACATTTATTTGAAGGCTAGTGGATGTTACCTGAGTAGAGAGAGACAACACATCTTCTTTAAATAGAGTTGGGGGCTCATCCGTCACCTCACTGCTGGTTGTTGATGCATCTAAATATGGGGTTTGATCATGAAAATTAAAATGTACAAATACATGTACACATGTGAAATGAAAGATTAACAATCATTACTGTTATCTTACATACTTGGGTGAATCTAACAAAACATGTCAAGACCATGCATACAATAAATCTTATATCACACCCAAAAATAAAAAGGAAAAGATACTAAATTAAAAGTTGCTTTGAAATTAAGCCTGTTTCAGGACCATTTCGATATTTTTTTGCTATGGCATTATTTTATGATATTCAAATTTTCGAATTTCATTATTGTATGTGTACAATTTCTTTTTTTTAAAGCAAATTTTTATTTTATGCTAACTCACAGAAAATACATCATTGTATTGTCTTGTAATACAGTAAAACAGATCTATATTACAGTAATGAGAATCACTACTCAGGATAATGGATATTGGAAAAAAAAACTCAAATGGAAAAGAAAAAAAAAAATATATATATATATATATATGTATATGCATGTGTGTGTATATATATATATATATATATATATTGGACAAAAGTTTGGAATAAATAAGGTTTTTTAATGTTTGTAAAAGACGTCTCTATTTATTTAATCAAAAATACAGTAAAATAACTAATATAATGAAATTGTGAATTTTGTGTAATATAGTCTTCAGTGTCACATGATCCTTCAGAAATCATTCTAATATGCTATTTTGCTGTTCAAATATTCAATTATAGACCAAATATTATGTATCTGCCTTGTCAATTAGGTAAATCATCTTTTTGCTGATGTTTTTTCACTGGTCTGTCTCACCTCTCTCGGCATCCATGGTCTCCTGTCCCAGGGTGGGCGGCTGGGAATCCTCTGTACGGAAGATATATATAGGCCTAATTTATAATTTATATGGAAAAACTACCACGTTTTTGGCAGGTTTCATGAGCATCACTCATATATGTTACAAGGATGTTCAACAGAGACCAACTAAAATTAATATATAAAACTGCTCATTTTTACGTTTCAGACATTCCGATCAGAAATGTATGACAAAATCACTTCACTCCATTACAGATCACCAACAGATTGTACAATCCCCATTAACCCCACGTCTAAGACACGCCTACACGCTGGATACAGTGAAGCCCATTGGTTGCCTTGCTTGTCTGTCATGTTACTGAATGACGTCACCCTCCCCGCCGCTCTGAAGTTTTTGTAACGTAGAAGAAAAGAAACTTGTCTCCCTCTTTAAACAAGCAACTTACCACCGACGGACCCTTTCAATTACCGCCATCACTTTTTTGATATCATCTTTTGCACGGCTGCGTGTCTCCGCTCGCACGGACCGTCCCGACATTTTAATGGGTTTTATTAGTTTGTCAAGATCTCCCTCTTTTTCTTGCCTTCTTCCGTCTGTGACTTGATTTCGCCGTCTTCGTCTTTGTCTCGCGAGATTTCATATTAACGCGCCACTGGCACTGCCTCTTTGCATTTTTTTACATTACCCTTATTTAATTTATTTGTAAATTTATTTTCATTATAAAACATTCTGTTATCTAATAACCACAATATGGATGCACCACATTAAAAGAAGCTGTTACGTGCCTATGATGCCCTTATCACACCACCAGATGGCAGCGTTTTTCACTTAAAAATACTCTCCATTTGAGTTGACAGCGACAGGATATGCAGTACACTTCCTGCCTCATATGTGATAAACATATATATATATATATATATATATTGGACAAAAGTTTGGAATAAATAAGGTTTTTTAATGTTTGTAAAAGACGTCTCTATTTATTTAATCAAAAATACAGTAAAATAACTAATATAATGAAATTGTGAATTTTGTGTAATATAGTCTTCAGTGTCACATGATCCTTCAGAAATCATTCTAATATGCTATGCAGTACACTTCCTGCCTCATATGTGATAAACATGTTGGACAAAATATTACAGTTGCACATTTTAAATATGTAAATGTTTTAATATGTAAATGATTCTTAAATGTTCTTTATTAAAAAAAGCTAACGATTGAATTTTAAACTTTATACAGTAAAATAACTAATATAATGAAATTGTGAATTTTGTGTAATATAGTCTTCAGTGTCACATGATCCTTCAGAAATCATTCTAATATGCTATTTTGCTGTTCAAATATTCAATTATAGACCAAATATTATGTATCTGCCTTGTCAATTAGGTAAATCATCTTTTTGCTGATGTTTTTTCACTGGTCTGTCTCACCTCTCTCGGCATCCATGGTCTCCTGTCCCAGGGTGGGCGGCTGGGAATCCTCTGTACGGAAGTAGGATGCATGGGAAGGGCTCACTGCCTCACTCACATGCTGTGGACTGGAGTTGCTGCTGCTGTCCACTTTGGTATTAGACTGATATTCACAAGGAGGGTAAGCCACAAACATTCATTGCCAAAGAAGCTGGCTGCTCACAGAGTGCTGTATCCAAGCATGTTAACAGAAAGTTGAGTGGAAGGAAAAAGTGTGGAAGAAAAGATGCACAACCAACCGAGAGAACCTGGAACGTGTTTGTCCTCTTAGGGAATTAGACTGATAGGCATCTGATAGGAAACTCTGGTTACTGTTGTCATCTGTTTAGGAAAGTGAATGTATGAATGAAACATATTTGCGTGAAGTCTCCTGAAGAAATATGTGAATTATGTTTAAGTACTTTAGCATACTGTAATGTTACAGTACATGCTATGTTAAAATAGGTATGCAAAGCACACTGTCAAGGTGCAAGGTCATTTAAGTAACTAGAGCATAACAACATAACCCAGTGTTGCATTATATTAAATAGAGGATGTTCTGAATTGTTTAGAGAGGAAATATCAAGCTCCCTTGTGTCTGACATAAACATAGCCTGTTAAAACCGGTATTACCCTGAAAGTCCAGTAGCACGGAACGGGCGTTTTCCAGCACCACATCTGTAGGAAAGCCCTTCAGCTCCCTCACTGCAGTACCTGACAATTTAGGCTTGTATATCTACAAAAAGAAAAAAAGATGTTTTGAAAATGAACACTATATTTATATATCTGAGAAGTGGACAGCCACTTAAGATGACATGATATACACACCTGTTTAGTCTCTGTAACAGGGACCCATTTGAATATCCGTAATGACGTGTCTCCCACTGTAACCCACTTTTTTTCCCTAAGAGGACAAACACGTTCCAGGTTAATATTACAAAAATGCCTATATTAAAAGGAGAAGAAAACATTTAGGATTGTTAATTTTTTCCCCCAAGTTCTAAGTGCTGTTACGCAGCTGTGTGATTGTGTACCGCCGTGGTGATCTGGACTGTGAAGTGGGTTGGTCAGGTGTTTCTGCTTTTGTAGATTGTGGTTGTGTGAAGGCTGCAACATTTTGGATGTCAAAAACCATCCTTTAAAATATAATTCTTTGTGTGTACACACAGTTACTCCTGAATTAGTAATGAAAATAGTCATAACCGTATTAGTCTGTTCAGGGTTGATCAGTAAAGATTACTAACCATTGTAAGAGAGTTTAAGGCCAGTTGACAGAACAGTTACTTGCTCTGTGGTGCCGTTTTTTTATTTTGTATTATTGTTAATGACCTGCAAACATTTCGCTTTCCATGACATATTTGTCAATTCATCATTTACTCACCCTCATATCGTTTCAAACCTGTATGATTTACTTTGTAGTAAAGAACATAAAATAAGATATTTTGAAGAATGCTGGTAACAGTTTTGGTGTTATTGAGATGCCCCTGTATACACACACACACATACATACATATATATATATATATATATTTTTTTTTAAGTTAAAGTTCAGGTACTACATAACAGAAATAAAACAATTTCCTTGGTTTCTCCCAAGGTTTGTTCTCCATTTCTGTCACCGATGGAGTTTTGGTTCCTTGCCACTGTCTCCTTTGGCTTGCTTAGTTGGGGACGCCTGACTGATTGATTGCACAGACACTATTGGAAGAGAACTGAACTGGATGATAACATCACTGAATCATCAATGAACTGACTTTAGCTGGAAAAATGACTTTTTTTTGTCCTCTTGCATTATAAGACAAACTATTTTCCTGTTTGACACCGCATAGCTGCTTTGGCACAATCAGAATTGTATAAAGCGCTATATAAATAAAAAAAACAGAACAATCTCATAGAATATATTTGCCATCTCACTTTATAAGTAATTTTAAATGGCTGTGAGGTTTAAACTGAGTGGCATTGGAAACCAATACTACAAATAAACATAAAAAGCACAAAAAGATAAAGACAAAACATTTTTATTAGATGATCTTGGGATATTCTGCCTCTGCATAACTAGTAATGCATGTTGACAGTCAAACAAAATTCAATCACACACACTCTTTTCACAGCAGAAGGCACACCAAGTTTCTGAAAAGCATCATCTCTCTAATATCAAACAAACTATATTTGTGTAGTTACAGCATAGAACTCCACTGCAGCGATGAATACACCACATCACCCTCCACACTCTCATGCTTTCCGGTCTCGCTGCGGTTCCGTGGAGAGCAAAGCAATACTGTTTTTTTCACATTAGAGCCCAGACGAGCTATAGCTAGAATATCACAGAGAGGTAACTCTTCATCCATGGAGATGCATAATGCAATGAAATGAGCATGGAAACGCAGAGGATCGCCTGCAAAACGACAATATAAAGATCTTGGCTGTTAAGCTGCACTTATTTATACATCTGTAATCAATGAAAAAAAATTGGCCTTTGGATATTCCTGGTCGTCACAAACTTACCTGGATACACCAGGAAATCTCCTCCAAACTTCCCTGCAGAGGTCAGGTAGAAGCCTTTATTTCTCAGATCTCTGTATACACAGAATCTAGTGTTCAAGCGTTCATCTCTAGGCATTGGCCAATCAGTGGAATGAAAACTGCGTTCCTCCGGACAGTGGCTGAAGCCGGCGCGGGCAGTACAAAGCTGAACCGCCATAGCCGGCCACGGGAAGCGGAACGCCTGGTCCAGTGCATTAAGACGGTCTCTAATTGCATTGCCAGAGTTATCAGTGCCTGTGGGATCAAGGAGAGCCAAATATCATTGACACATATTAAATACAGTATCAGGGCGCTTACTGTACTTGAACAGACCAATACACACAAAATTAAGTCAAAATACCCATCTTGGCAAGTAGCCTCGGGAGCTAATTGATAAATAACAGCTGAGAGAAAATTGGGTGTGTCAATATATTAAATCCGTGAATAAGGTAAAAGTGACAGCCTAATATACCTGCTGCTGTCTGTGCCATTAGTGTTATCAAACAACAAAAGACACTCACTGCTCTTTACTTAATAACTTTCATAGCTTTAACAAAGGTTAATCTATATTTAATTCATACAGTTATTTTACATTTGATTAATTTAATGTCTGCAGTAATTCTTACTAGAATATTACTGTTAGACCAACACGAAAACTTAACACTTCTGTGTTTAAATCATTTGTTATCATTTTTTATTGACTGTTTACTTGTCTTTAATAATGTTTGAATTTTATATTAGTTTGGCTAGTAGTTCTTGCTGTGTTGTTGAAATTGGAATTGGGAATTGTGAAATTGAACTGGTATCTAATATTTTGGTCCCATAACAACCTTATTTATTAAAATACAAGGTTACATGGGTCAAAAACAATAATCATTTTTATTTATTTATTTATTTTTGTGGTGGGGGCCAGAATCAAAATCTGTATCACTGAGACCTGAATATGCATTTTGTTTTATTATTTTAACACAGTAGGCTTTTTTTTTGTCAAGTACTTTGTTTATTTTTACTGTTAAAAGTTCTGATGCCTTAAATTAAACTTGTAAACATGTATTATTATTTTTTTATTATTATTATTGTATCTAATCTTAAGATTTCACTTTGGCTGTAAGGTTTAAGCAGTTGAGAAATAAAGAAATTGGGTTCAGTTTTATCTTTTAAACCACAAATAGGTCAAGAGCATCATTTACAGTATCTTGGTGGATACTGCCACTGACCTCTCATTGCCACTGTTTAATATATGTGGATTTATAACAGTTTTTTTTAAACATTTATTCCAGCCCCTAAACATCAACTGTAACTGCACTACCCCCCCCCCCCCCCCCCTCCACTCTTTTC